TGTGTGTGTGTGTGTGTGTGTATATATATATATATATATATCCATCCTAATATCGGTGTACTTCGTTAATACTCCAAAAACAGGTGTCTAGCAAATAACTCATCTAGCTGTGATTCTTGAGTATTGCCTTTTTACATAGACAGTGTATGTCAAGGGAGATTGAGAGACACAATATAATGTAACTATATAATTTGTCTTTCTTCTTTCCAAAGCAACTATACTTCCCACTTAGTGATTATGTCCCTGCAATAGTCATATCTAGCTAAGGGAGCAAGTTAGGACAAACAGTAGAATAATGAGATGGTATTCTTCATTTCTACAGGCAAGTAGCAATATTAGTATACTGATTTGATTTTCAATTCAAGGATTTATTCCTTGTAAGTGTTTTCTAGTGCAATAGACTGAAATATTTACAGTATTAGATTATAATCTCAAACATACATACAGTACAAAGAAAAGGAGCAAGAAACCAAAATTATTTACATTGTGGTAAACATCTAGATGGCATACAGTTGAAATGAAATGACTCAATTATTTCTCCATGTGATATTCATTTAGCCTCTTCAAAAAAGTTATTAACTGGATCTGTTAATTTCATTTTTCAGATAAATCAGTTACCTTTTTTTTTCTTAATATTACTGTGGTTAAAAATTCCCATACTGAGAAGACAAAAATGATCAAGAGGGAAGACATGAGGAATAAGAACCATTTAAATGAGAATTAAAACTAGCCATATGAAATAATGATACCATAAAGAACAATATCAAAAACCCAGAATAAATAAATATGAATTTCTAAATTACTTTCGTTTATTATACAAGCAGACAGTTTCAGTATTTTCTGATTGGCTTTGTTTTCTTAAATTCTATTTCCAGTGTCCATTAATCCATTCTAAAACTAATAATTTACCCTGTTCACTTTTCAGATAATTTAAGTATTTCCTATCAGAATAACTTGGTATCATGAATTGACATTTTGAACACAGTTTTAAATGATAGTCACTGGAAAACAAATTCAGATGAATCCTAATTGTGGTCTTTACAACATCACTAAGCAGTGATGCTGCTGGCTTTCTCAGGCCAGGTGAGAGTTGTAGATGATTCCAGAAGATTATAATGCTACTAGAAGCTATTTCTAAGTATCTTTCAAAATCCTTTCCGTCTAGATGTCCACCTCAGATAAAGATAAATCCCTAGTGTGGAGTATTAACTCATTCATGAAAAGAAACATAGTAACAACCAATTAAGTGCTTTCATGAATAGTTTAGTCTAAAAGCAGTGATTTTTGTTGATGATCTCTCAGTGAAAAAATGATTTTAAGGATTCTGGGAAGGTCCTTCACAAGATACTTTTCCCTCTTAGCTAAATGATATCTAAAGTTCCACAAGTAGAGATTAATTTCTTGTGCTTAAGACTATGTCCCCTGTTAAATTACAGTAATTTCTCGATAAAGGCCACATGCTTATCTGCACATCAACTCCGCGAGCTAGATGCTATCACTATTCCCATTTTATAGATGTGGTCACACAGCTTAATGACTGCTAGTGCTGGGATTCAAACACAAATGCATCTGAACTCCAAAGCCCAGATTGTTAATCACCACTTCTGTTCTTCCACTGACTCCTGGTATGCTATTCTCCTGGGTTTTCCTTCCACCTGTTGGCTCCTTCTTGATCTCCCTGATTCTTTTTTCTTATACTTATGCCTTATATATAGAAAATCCTCTTCTCGGGGCGCCTGGGTGGCTCAGTCAGTTAAGCGTCTGACTTCAGCTCAGGTCATGATCTCACGGTTTGTGGGTTTGAGCCCCATGTCAGGCTCTGTGCTGACAACTCAGAGCCTGCAGCCTGCTTCGGATTCCGTGTCTCCCTCTCTCTCTGCCCCTCCCCCACTCATGTTCTGTCTCTCTGTCTCTCTGGAATATAAGTAAACATTAAAAAAAAAAACCCTCTTCTCATTGTATACATTGTCCTTAATTACATCTACTCAAGCATTTGTGTACCATTTACTCCAGAATTCGTATAACTGGACCAGATCTTACTCTGGAGCCTGTATACCCAGTGTACTTGCCCTACTTAAATTTCTCACTTGTCTTCTGTCTTTATTCCCTATCTCAATGAATACTATTACTGTGCATATGGTTGCCCAAGTCAAAAACAGAAATCACTCTTGACTCCTCCCTCTTTCCCCTGCCACCTGAGTGACCTTTTAAGAAACTAATCACATATAAGATGCTTAAACCTTTTGAGTGGCTCCCATAGGCTTTTGTATAAAACTCAAGTGAAAGGTTCTCCATGGCATGGCTTCTCCTGCCTCTAATACCTCTTTCTTCATCCTTTGTGTCCTCTCACATTGCATTTGTTTAAAATCTTGTCTCAGCTGTCCTATGGGGAGTTAAAAGTAGGCTTGGTCTTGGAGGCATCAGGCCAAAGTGTCAACAGGGAAACAACACTCCTTCTGAGACTGCGATGGTGGCAGCATCCCTAATTAGCCAGAGATCCCCTTTGGGTAAGGTGACTTTGCCAGGGAGATTTGGGACTATGAGGCCTAAGCCTTTATGACTATTCTCACCCCACTGCTGAACCTAGAGATGTAGGTTTAATTTTTATTAAGGAAAATATATTTTTTGTAAGCTTACTAGGCTCTCTGTTTATTAATCCTCCTAATGGCTTCTCAAGTGACCTTTCTAAAGTGCAGTAATCATGTCTCTGTTCTTTAAGGCCCTGTTAATTTTGAACATTTTATATGTTTTTACATTTAACATTTTAACAAATAAATTTTAACATTTTAGGTATTTTTGTTACTTTTAAACGTGGTGTGGGTGTGAGATTTGGCTTTTGCCAGTTTAAATTTTTTTTTTTTTCAACGTTTATTTATTTTTGGGACAGAGAGAGACAGAGCATGAACGGGCGAGGGGCAGAGAGAGAGGGAGACACAGAATCGGAAACAGGCTCCAGGCTCTGAGCCATCAGCCCAGAGCCCGACGCGGGGCTCGAACTCACGGACCGTGAGATCGTGACCTGGTTGAAGTCGGACGCTTAACCGACTGCGCCACCCAGGCGCCCCTGGCTTTTGCCAGTTTAATTGTATTTCTCATATTTCTGTGTTCAGCTTTCAAAGAATTATTTCCTCTAGGAAATTTTTTTTTTATGTAAACTCTACCCCCAACATGCAGCTTGAACTCACAACCCCATGATCAAGAGTTGCATGCTCTACCAACTGAGCCAGCCAGGCACCTCTCTCTAGGAATTTATGACTAAGGTGTTCATTTGCTGGGCATATGAAATATTGGCTCATCTATATAGCTATCTATAAAAAGTATAAACGTTATTTTGGCTTCATATAATTATTTAAAAATTATAAAAGACATTTAAAAACGTTATTGTTAGACATTTAGTTACTTCACCAATTCTTGAGATGTTTCATTCTAAAACCATTTCTGTACTCAGTGGAGGTTATATCTCTGAAACTTTTAAAATGCTTATACGTACATCTACCACCAGCCTAGAATGAAGCCATTCCTTCTGTTTTCCAGGGACACCAGAAATAGTACCATTAAGTTTTCAACATATTTTTATGTTAGCAGAAATGAGTAAGATATTTAGGTCATATTCTTTGCTATTCTTTATAAAGAAACAGTGATAAAAATCTTTTTCCTCAAGGAAAAAAATAGACCAATTAAATCTTGACATGATTTAGAAACCACGTGGATTCTCTATAACATATGCCTTGGGGAAATTACAGTCTATTTTAATTGAGCTCTTAAGCTATTCACTTTTATTATAGGTGATGCAAAAACTTTCTGGATGGAGCTGGAAGATGATGGAAAAGTGGACTCCATCTTTGAACAAGTGCAAAATGTGTTACAATCACTGAAACAAAAGATTAAAGATGGGTCTGCCACAAATAAAGGTATGAAGCACAAAAAACTTTTAATACATTTAATGTTAAATGTTACCCACTGGCAGTATAATACAGTGCTGTTTCCACTATGTTTCTTTTGTTATCTAAGAGCCTATCAGTTCTGTTTGCTTTGTGTGTGTTTGTACTCTGCTTCGACAAAAACACGCTTTTGCCATATGCCATAGACATTTTGTAAAAGTGGGTGAAAATGATTACTTTGAATGTTAGCTACTGAGTTTATCTCTTTTTCTGTCAGGCTCCCTTGTTTTCCCCACATTTTATCTTTGCTTTCTCTTTATATCTCTTTTTGAGGGGTGATGGGTATTGCAAAAGTAATATCTGCTCATTGTACAACGTTTAGTACCAGTAGAAAAATATAAGAAAAATTATCCACCACCCCGTTACTCAGAGACACCTAATGTTTTTTAAGAATGCGAAAGTACATGTAACGATATTTTGCCTGCTTTAATCAGAACTTGCCTTCTATTTCAGCAGTCAGTTCCATCAGCCAAGTTTGTATTTTTTCTGTTTCTTTGTTTTCAACCCTGGTTGGTCGTAGAACAGAAGACTTTTAGGTAGAAATTTACTTCTTTCCTTCAGGACATAAGATATTCAAGCAAATTTTCATTTGGACTCTTCTTAATACTTTGTGGATGTTTTTATGACATTAATCTTTTGTTTGCTTGTCCAAACAGTAGCGCTGTTTTTCATTTTAATGTTCCTTCTCATTCCTTCATGAGTCAGATATATCTAGTTTTGAATCCAGTTCTAACAACTCCTAGCTGAATGACCTGGAATAAATAGTTTAACTCCTAAGCTTCAATTTCTGTTTCTAATGCAGGTAATCATAATCGCTCAGAGGAGTTAATGAAGATTAAGATAAAGTACATAAATTATTTAGCACAGTAGCTGGCACAATGAAAATGATGCTGCTGCTGCTGGTTTTCATGCATTTTTCCTTTCCTTAACAGAATACATCCAAGCAATGATTCTAGTGAATGAAGCAACCATAAGTAACAATTCAACATTGATAAAGGGTATGTGCATTAATAATCCCAATTTTGAGTATTCTGTTATTTTCTTGACTTGATGCAGGCTTAATTGAGTTCAGATTATGTGAGATTACCTAAAGATAATTTAATATAAAATGTAAGACCTGTACTGGTAAATTATATAAATCAGTGTCCCTATTAAATAAAAAGTCCTACCCATCTAGCGATAGGAAATGCACACTCTTCTAAGCCTCTTAGGAAATGAACAAATGTGTCTCTTCTTCAAAAAATTCTAAGACCCCAGACTACTGTAAACCCACCTTGTGTGAAAAACAATACTAGAAAGGTATATTCTGGCATAGATAGTGTAAAATTTTTTTATTTCTAGATTATTAGACCATTAGTCTTGCAGACTCTAAACAAATTAGGTTTCGGAGGAATTGATCAAAGATACTGTACCAGAACTAGGAAAATAAAATTAAAAAGTTGTTTTATCAGAATCACTCTCCTATAAATCTTAGTCTATCTCAAATTTCCTAAAATATTGAGAAGGTACTTTACTGGATTTTAATGCTGCTAAATATTCTTAACAAATTATAATAATTTTAACTTACATAATTTGGGGTCTTAAGGTTTTAAATCTCTGAAAATATAGCCTAGCATCATGAGTCTATTTTAAAGAAACCTTTTTCTTATTCAAAAGTATTCTCAATTTCAGTAGCTAATGTATAGTTTTAGAAAAGTAGTTTCTTTTTTTTTTTATGTTTATTTATTTTTGAGACAGAGAGAGACAGAGCATGAACGGGGGAGGGTCAGAGAGAGAGGGAGACACAGAATCTGAAGCAGGCTCCAGGCTCTGAGCTGTCAGCACAGAGCCCAACGCGAGGCTCGAACCCAAGAACCACGAGATCATGACCTGAGCTGAAGTCGGACGCTTAACCGACTGAGCCACCCAGGCGCCCCAAGAGTAGTTTCTTTAAGAAAACAACCTTACTCAGTATCTTTCAGTAGCACTTGGAATCAACATACTTGAGAGATCACACTAGTTTTGCAAGAAGAGGCTTTTAAATGCAGGAGGTGGAAAGAGGAACTAATTCTAAAACAATTTATTTCTCGCTAACAAAGTAAATTGGGTTTTGGTTTTTTTGTGATAATTTTATCAATAGAAATATTGAATATTACAATTTTTATTTTTATATAGTTCCTCTGAAATGTAATGAATTTATCAAAAGTATATATTTGCCAGTGGTATAGAGCAATATTTGTAAGTAGGGAATTGGGGAGTTATGTAATTGACATTGTTGGCAAAACAAAGATTAAAAACTTTCTAGTAATAAAGTTTCATGTTAGTATTTACTTTTTAAAAAACATTGAAACGGGGAAAGACAAAAGGACTTCATGTTAAGGTCAAAACAAGGTATCCCATATCCAACTTGAGTCCTAAACCACTGATTACCTTTATTTTCTTTGTGTCTAACTGTAAATATGTGCTATGTCCCCAAACAAAGGATTGGATACTGTTTTCTTGACAGGAGTTATTATTTCCCCTTTCCTCCCTTATCTGATGATTAATTTTAAAATCTCCACGTTTGGGGGCTCCTGGGTGGCTTAGTCGGTTAAACATCTGATTTTGGCTCAGGTCATGATCTCATGGTTCTTGAGTTCAAGCCTCGCATCAGGTTCTCTGCTGTTAACACAGAGCCTGCTTCAGATTCTCTGTCCCCATCTCTCTCTGCCCCTCCTTGCTGGTTTGTTCTCTCTCTCTCTCTCAAAATAAATAAAATCTCCATGTTTCAGTAAGTTTTATTTTTAATTATGTTTATATACATTTATTCTATTCATATTTGTTAGTATGGATTTTTATGATTTATGCAAAGAAATTAGTTGGGAAAAATCAGAAATGCTTAATTTGTAAAACTTAATTTTAATCAGGTATTATAGCTCTTTTCAACTATCAGATTTTAAACCTTTCTTTATCTTGATAATTAAAGAGGGATAATTGTTTTCCAGATAGCCAGGTAGTAGCCTCATGTTATAACTTAAACTATTCTTTTATTTACTTAAAGTTTTTTCCTTTTTTTTTTTTTTAATGTTTGTTTATTTTGAGAGAGAGTGTGAGCAAGGAAGAGGCAGAGGGAGAGTGAGAGAGGGAGAATCCCAAGGAGGCTCCCTGCTGCCAGCACAAAGCCCTATGAGGGACTTGAGCCCATGAACTGTGAATTCATGACCTGAGCTGAAACCAAGAGTTGGACACTTTACCAACTGAGTCACCCAGGTGCCCCAAACTTTTTCTTCTTAATAAGATTGATCTGCAGTAAAAGACCAATGTAAGTTAATAACCTGAAGCAAGATGAGAATCCCTTTTTTTCTTAAAGGTCCTCAATGCATAGGAAAAAACATGTTTAAAAAATATCTTTAAACCAAACATAGAATATTCTACATAATCATTTTTCAAAATAAGAACAGGGAATCCGTAACTTTTTTCACACAGCTTACTTCTATTATTGTAGTCATGTTAGAGAGTAAAAATAGATGAAGTAGAAAAAACACAAGATAGAGGATGAAATTAAATGCAGGAGCACCTGGGTGGCTCAGTTGGTTAAGCATCTGGTTTAAGCTCAGGTCCTGATCTTGCAGTTCATGGGCTCAAGCCCTGTGTTGGGCTCTGTGCTGACAGCTCTGAGCCTGGAACCTGAATCGGATTCTGTCTGTCTGTCTGTCTGTATGTCTCTCTCTCTCTCTCTCTCTCTCTCTCTGCCCCTCCCCCACTCACACTCTGTCTCAAAATGAGTAAATGTTAAAAAAAATTTTTTTTAAATAAAAAGAAATTAAGTGAAGAAAGATATAGGAAAGACTAAGTAATATGAAAAGACAAGTGGAAGTACAAAAAGAG